ATCAACATTCCCAACCCAAGGTTGAAAGGGGGTGAGAAGGCCAGCGTGGACTGTGGAGCGTTTTCATGAAAGCTGCTAAAAAAAGGGCACATCGTACCACATTTAATTAAGCGAGTAAAAAATTGTGATGATGAAGGCGTGATAGGAGGATATAGGAAATGTGAATAGCCCAGGGCAGAAGGGGAGATATCACAGCTATTTAGCACACGTTTGGTCTAAGGATGGGCTTCACTTATCTCTTTGACGATCCGTACTATGATGCTAAGAATGGTGAGACTCACTGACGATGCCGGCGAAACGTCTGGAAAAGTACCACATCCACGGTCCAACCTTGGAAATGGTCATGCATACAGTGGACTCCGGACTAGGTGCGTTCCTCTAAGTCTTCCTACCAATATGGTCAAGTTGGGAAAACAAGGTCAAGCAACTTCCATACGACGACAGGAGACTGCGACAATACAAAAGGCCACACTATCTCGGTCTTTATACCTTCAATTAGAACAGAAAACTGGTCAAAAGGATTGCATCCTCTTGTGATTTTGATAAGTTGTAATTCTATACTATGGTGCCTCTGACTATGCCGGCGAAACGTCTGGGAATGTACAAAGTCAATAGTCTTATACTGGAATGGAGGATGATGCAGATCTTTCTATTGCTCCCACCAAGTTGCGTAAATGAGATCAAACCAACACTGGAAGGTATAAATCTTAAGGAGAAAGCATGAGTTAGGGGCTCACTGTAGGAGTCTCTTCGTCCCGAAAACCCCGTCACTACTCGAAGCTGTTTGATCTTCATCTGTAAGTGTGCTTTCAAGGCTCGACGCTGTAGACATTTCTGATATAGATTCAAATAATACTATGGTGTTATCAAGATGGCTGGTACTATCGTCTGCCTTAGGCGGATTGGTAATGCCATTACACCTTGTTTTTAGGAATTTTTTTTTTGCGATGGCCGATTCATCAGAGTTAAATTCAGTTGTGGCTTTCTCTCCAGCTAGTGTTGGAAATGGCTCTTGTTTTAATTCGTGCTTAATCTCGTTGGGTGAAGTGGTGGTGGCTGCTGGCTTGCGACGAGACCGCTTCTTGATACGCTCAAGACGAGCAAGCTGG